GTAAAATTATTCAGTTCTTTCTCTGGGTGCATGTGGCATCTCTCTTCATATGTCCTTTATTTTTAATTTGTGTATTTATAATAGTCAAAATGACTTAGTCACTCAAAGTCATTCTTAAAAGAATATTGCTATTATGGTATACAATGTTCCCTTGGTTCTGTTCACTTTACTCTTCATCATTTTGTGCAAATCTTTCCATGTCTTTTTAAGATCAATGAGCTCATCATTTCTTATAGCACAGTAGTATTCCATCACAATTATACACCATAACTTGTTCAGCCATTCCCCAATCGATGGGCATTTCTGAAATTTCCAGTTCATTGCTACCACAAAGAGAGCTGCTATAAATATCCTATTCACATTCGAAGTTATAATTGCTATTTGTGAATTTCCCTCCATCTTATTTTCACTCACTATTTTCTTTCCAAGAAGCAATGTCTCTATTGATTTGATAGTTGTGGCCAGAGCTATGGGAGGAAAGGGGTGGGGAAATGTCCATGCACTTGTATGGCAAACAGATGGCATGATAGCTGAGGTGGATGGATGGATTGAACGTGAACTCAATAAATGGTCTGATGTCTGTAGCCAGCTAGATAGAGTGAGCTAAGTGGGCTGGTTTGGACTCAAATCAACAGTCATGACATTTAGACCCTAGTGTAGGAGAGGATATAAAATGGACATAAACTGGTTTAAAAATGTCATTATTAAAATTTTTTAAAAAGGGAGCCTACAATTATTTATTAAACATAGTAATTAATATAAAATATACTTCTATAATGTGGTCAGTGAAGTGTTATGCACAGAAATAGGAGCCCAAGAAAGACCTAAAAACACAGAGAGGCAAAGGGAGTGACAGACATGGAGACAGATAGGCATGGATCAACAACCTTACTTTTGGAACGCTGATGCTAACATTGTTTAAAAATCACATTACATTTTTGCAACTCTAATCATAAATGAAAGTTTGGTGTCTTGGTTTGTGGTCTACAGTCTGAATCAAGGTAAGTTGAAACCCAAATTCATCCTGTGGGCTAACATTTTCTCCCCACTGCTGGTCCATCCATTGACAGTTTCCATATGCAACTTTCCAAATCTAGCAGAGTTCAAATCCTGCCTCAGATGCTTACTACCTGTATGACCTTGGGCAAGTCACGTAACCACGCTTGGCCTCATTTTCCCCATATGTAAAGATGAGGAACATGGAATGGATAGCCTCTGAAGTGCCTTCTAGCTCAAGATATTTGATTCTATAATCATATTGCTGTGTGACCTTGGGTTAGCCCCCTTCCCTTTGCCAGGACTCAGTTTATTCATCTGTGAAATGAAGATGTTGTACTAGGTGACCTACCTGTAAGGTCTCTTCTCTAAATATTAAATTCTATTTACTTTCAGTTACCTAGGAATTATGACTCCTCCCAAGGTCTCACTTACATCATTTTACCTGCTCGGGTTAAGAATGTTGCTCGGTATGGAAAGACCATCAGTGATCTGTGTAGAGGGGTTCCTACATACTTTGCACAGCAATGCATTGAAGGTAAGTCAATTTCTTTTGTGTCATGAGGGGTGATTAGAGTTTGGGGAGGTTCAGGGAAAGGATCTATTTGATATACCATCCAAGTAGATTGAATTGTTTCATGGAAATAGGTAAAGAAAGAACATTTTGATGTTGTTTAGTTGTTTTTCAGTAATGTCTGACTCTTGGTGATCCTATTTGGGGTTTTCTTTGCAAAGATACTGGAGTGCTTTGCTGTTTCCTTCTCCAGCCCATTTTATAGATGAGGAAACCAAGGCTAACAGGGTTTTAGTGACTTGCCCAGGGTCACACAGCTAGTAAGTGCTATGTGTCTGAGGCCGGATTTGAACTCAGGTACTCCTGAATCCAGGGCCGGTGCTCTATCCACTGCGCCATCTAGCTGCCCCTAAGGCTGGATTTAAACTCAGGAAGATTAGTCTTCCTGATTCCAGGCCCAGCACTCTATCCACTGCACCACCTAGCTGTTCAGAGAAAGAACATGTAGCTATTTAAACCCTGTCAGCCACATAACAGCCCCTGGGTTCCAGGATTCTTGACTCTGGCACTTGTCCAACCAGGCAAACATCATGCCTTTCGGAACAAGGGACAGAGCTGAGAGACCCATCTCTATTTACTACTCACCCCTGCTGTAGTTTACTACAGGGACTAGTGTCCAGAAGAGACTAGGCTTATTCTTCATGGCCCCAAAGGATAGAAGTAGCAGCCATGAGAAGTGGCAAAGAAGTTAATTTAGATTTGATATGTGAAAAAAAGTTGCTCAGTTAGAAAGAGTATTGGGCCAGGAGTCAGGAACACTTGAATTTAAATCCAGCTTCAGACACTAACTAGCTGGGCAACTCTGAGCAAGTCACTTAACTATTGTCTGTCTCAGTCTCATCTGTAAAATGGGAATAATAATAGTATTTACCTCCTAAGGTTGTTGCCAGGATCAAATGAGATAATATTTGTAGAGTACTTTGCATACCTTAAAACACTAAAAAAAAGTTAGCAATTGTTATTACTCCTAAAAGGAGAAGTCATTGTGAGAATATCTCAATCCAGTAGAAAGAGCTATAGGTTTGGGATCAGAGGTCCTATTATATTAGAATCCTAGCTCTGCTACTTTCCATCTTATAACATAAAAAATCATTTTCCCTCTTCTGGCCAATAGTTTCGTTATCTGTAAAATGAGAGGTTGAAACTAGAGAAGGCAAGAGGTTAGACTCCAGGTTTATGATCCAATGAAAAGATAATTTCTAAAGTCTCTCTGATCTCTAAATCCTATGATCATTAGGCACATAAATGGGATAGACTCAAGAGGATGATGAAAAGGAACAGAAAATGGGAGGGATGGGATGCTGAAACATTTTACCTCCTTCAAATTTTGCCAATAGCTCCCATTGTTCAGGAGTTTCCAATTCTAATTCCATAATTCTTTACAAATAGCCATGAATCCAGTACTATGTCCAACTATATAACACATTGGTTTGGACTCAAAAATTTTATCTGTATAGTGTAGTGGTTCTTGAAGTGTGGTCCGGTGAACACTGGGTGTCCCAGCGACCTTTCAGAAGGTCCACAAGGTTGAAACAATTTTCACAATAATATGAAGACATTTTGATGTCTGATGTAGTAAATATCGATAGATATAACCAAGCTCTTGGAGGGGATTCTTTAATATTTTTAAGATTGTAAAGGGATCCTGAGACCAAAATCTTTAAGGACCACTGTTGTAAGATATTTGTGTTATAAAAACACACTATCAGTAACTCACTTGTAATTTATAGCCCCAAAACAACTGCCTCGAGCACTTGGAGATGAAATGATTTTCCTAGACTCACTCTGCCAGTACATGATGGAGGAATAATGCTTTTCATGTAACATATATGACATTTAACCTGGAAGTCGTTTAATTTGAAGGTAATTGGTAGTGAGGTGGTTTCTTCTCTTAACCTGAGTTTCTTTCTCCTTTAAGGCACTGCCCTGGCTCTGAATCCACAAACCTGCTTTAAAGCAAGAATTTTTGCAAACATGTACAGTTTTGGCCTCTCCATCTGTGGGGAGATTCCAGGTCTCTGATGAGAATAATTGTCAGTTACTGGAGGGTTGGAGCTTCTGCTTTTGCTAAGGAACTGTGGTTCTTTGCTTCTCAAGGGAGAAGCTATTTTGTCTCCACCTTGGAAACCAAACTTTAGGTTTCAATAAAATAATTGTAAGAAAGTGATGCAGCCTACTCTTTCCTTCAGAGTTAAAATGAAACTGATCTTTGTTATGTTGATATATCAAACTAGTTATTGATACAACAACCAATTATAACTAGTTCTTTGTCTAACTTCGCACTGTTTTAACAGAGGGACCCAGACGAACTACATTCCCTAGTTCTAAAGATGCAGATGTAAATTGTTGTGCCCTATCCATGATAATGGAAAGATTATGGAAAATGGGGAAAATAGCATAAGATTGAAGAATGGAAAATATTTTCCCAATATTTAAAAAAAAAGGGGAAGAAAACAGAGTGAGAAAGCTATGGGCAAGTGAGCTTGACTTTGATTTGTTGGGAAAATTCTATAATGGTAAACATCTAGAAAGGAAAGCATTGATTACAAAGTGCCAGAAGGACTTCATCAAGAATAGGCCATCTCAAACTAACCTTATTTCCCTTTTTTTTTTTTTTACAACTATTTAACTAGTAGTTGAGAGGAATGTTGTGGGTATAATTTACCTAAGATTTTAGCAAAGCTTTTGATAAATATCCTGCTAATAATTTTAAGGAGAATATGGGAATATGGATTAGATGATAATAGGATCAGAGAGATTCAGAACTGGCTGGAGGGCAGCTGAGGACTCTTCCAACTCTCACATTCTGTGATTCTAAATAAAGTTTACACTTTGAGCCTTGAGAACACGTGTGCTTGCAAGGTTTTTGTTGTTTTTCGGTCATTTTTTGTCACGTCCAACTCTTTGTGACCCCTTCTTGAGGTTTTCTTGGCCAAGATACTGGAATGATTTGCCATTTCCTTCTCTGGCTAATTTTAAAGACAGGGAAACTGAGGCAAACAGGGTGAAGTGACTTGCCCAGGGTCATATAGCTAGTAAGTGTCTGAGGCCAGATTTGAACTCAGGTCTTCCTGACTCCCACCACAGTGTTCTATTCTCTGTGCTGCCTCGCTGCCTGCTTACAAGGTTAGTTGGTCACTAAACCCTGGCATTGTAAGGTGTGGTAATTCCCAAGTTATCTAGATGAGAACAAGCTAGAGAAGTGAAAATTCTGTCTAATTGTATGCAGGCCTTTCATCTCAGAAGGGAGCCTCTGATACAAAGGTTATTGTCATCTTTGGCCAAGTACATGTAAGGATACACTGCCTTTCTTTTTACTATTTATAGTGAAGGTAAAAAAAAAAGCCTCAAACATTTGTAAATAAAGCATATATTTTATTCCTGAAGAACACACTACTCTATTCCAGTCACGATCAGAGGGTAAGTGGGAGCATTGTGATGTCACTATTGGGCTGCAGAGTGGATCATGCAATTCAAGTGAATCTCCTCTGAATGACAGCTCTGATAGGATGATGTCTAAAGAGAAAGGTCTGCGCAGATACCAATATGAAGGATGCCCAGGAGCCCAACTTTGGCACAGCCCTTAGCACCAGCTAAGAGAAGGAAGAGAAAGAAGAAAATAATTACTACCATTTAATCCCCAAAACAAGAGACTTTAGTCATCACTCACATTTTTAGAACCTTTTCACAGTTTACAAAGTCCATTTCCTCAAGACATTTACCCATTTAATAGATGGGAATAATGAGGGTAGAGAAGTTAAGCGACTTACCCACAGACACACTAATAAGCAGCAGAATCTAAGCATCATGACTCTTAATCTACTACCAATCCCGCTGCTCTACTGCCACTTCAGTGTTTTGGCTAAGAACTGAATGTTTCCCCCCAAATGAATAATTAACAATTTCACCAGTCAAGATTCTGTTGTGATAATCATTTGTTGGTTTAAGTAAGATAAGATGGGCTGACTGTGGCAATCCTGGAAAAAGTTGACTGCTCCTTTCCACTTCCCCCATTCTCAAACCAAACTGGATTATGCATTGTTTTCCCTACAACTATCATATTTTCACAACTTGTACCTCCTCTTAGACTGATCTCTGTATCTGAAACATACCACCTTCCCTCTGCCTGTTCCACTCTTCATGAAGGAGGTATGTTTTGAATTCCTTTGAAGCACAACTCAAAACACACCTCCTTCATGAAGGCTTCCCTGATGCCCATAGTTGGTAATGACCTCAGATCTTATATAGCACTTAGTTTGTATCTCTCTAATGTATTTATCATGTGTTCGTTTATTTAATAGTTATTTAGGTATGTGTCATATCTTCCTCCTAAACTATAAGCTCCCTAAAGGCAGAGGCTATGTCTTATCTAAACTTGTTTTATCCCCCATTACCCATCCACTATGACTCAAGGCTGAGTGAGATTCCTTGTGTTCCATCCCCATTCCTCCATTCTTCTTTCTCTTTCCTAGCTCTCCTCTCGTTCAAGTCTTTGAGAAGGCTATAGATTACTTCCTTTTTTATCTCTACCAAGAAGAGCCAATCTGGCTGCCCTGGTGGCTAAAGGGGAATTAGGGAGCTGAGACTGAGGCTATGGATGGATGACTCAGCTTTATTTCAGAGACTCTATCCAGAGGCCAATTCACAGAGTAGGGGAAGGATAGAAAAGACACAAAGAGTGTAAACTCAGAAATTCTAGGTTTCTGGGGAAAATATTGAGATCCAGGAGTTCTTGGAATTTTCCCTTAGCAGCCCTAGCTTTGTAATATCTTCACACTGAAGTATAAAATGACTGAGCCCAGATCCATCTTCAGTCTAGAGGTGGGAGGAGAGGAACCTGAGGTAGGTAACAATTTGAGTGGGCAGTCATCAATAAATATTTATTAAGCACCAACTATGTGCCAGGCGGTATGCCAAATGCTGGGGTAGAATCTCGCTAATGCTCCTCTTTTCTTTTTCCTCATGTCGTATTTCCTAGTCCCTGCTACCCTAAGTGAGGTTATACAGCTTAGGAAGGAGCAGATGGACTAGGGTAGGAAGAATTTTCTCTAGGTTTCCAGAAGTCCTAGGGGTCATGGTCAATTATGTTGCCTTCTCTGGATTCAGGGTGCAAAAGGAGGAATATATGTTTTGAATGCAGGATTTTCTTTTGCTCAAGAGAAACAAATGAGGGGTTTTGTTTTGGCTGAATATACATATTTGTTACAAGAAATTTGTTTTTATTTTCTTCTTCCAAGTTTGTGAGTGGTAGGAGGGAGGATAAATGGGTTTCAGTTAGTTAGGAAATAAAATTTAATTTAAAAAACAGTAAGTTCTAAAATTTTATGAAAAACTTTCATTGGTCTGTAGGGTGTGTCTCCATTCTTTTCCCTTTTTGAAAAATTGGGGCATTTTTCTTTCTCTATACCTGAAGCACCTCTACTGTCTCCTATGTTCTTTCAAAGATCATTAGCAGATACTCAACAATTGCATTCACAGATTCTTCGAGTATTTGGGATATGGTTCATCTGGGCTTGGTGAGATGAATTCATCAAGAACAGTCACATATTCTCTGGGCATTTCATCTCTGTGACCTTTGTATACCTCTCAGGCTGACTTTTATAGAATTTTAGATCAGGGACTATCATATGAAATCTGTTCTCTCAAAATGTAGGGTACCTATTAGGCTATGCCCTACTGTCCTTTATGGGCAGCTAGGTGGTACAGCGGATGGAGTGTAGGGCCTGGAGTCAGGAAGACCTGAGTTCAATTCAGCCTCAGACACTAGTTATGTGACCCTGGGCAAGGGGCAAGTCACTTAACCCTGTTTGCCTCAGTTTCCTCACTTGTAAAATGACCTAGAGAAGGAAATGGCAAACCACTCCAGCATCTTTGCCAAGAAAACTCCAAAAAGGGGTCAACATACAACAACAAAAACAATAAATTTCCTCTGTTTGAATCATAAATTCAAAGACGAAGTGTTCACTTTTCTCAAATATTTCCATCATGTCTACTTCAGGTCTGAATTGGGTTCAGAATGATAGCTCCTCTTGTTTCTTCCTTCACTTTTTAAAGGATGGATTTTTTATTAAAGAAAGTTAAGACATTATTAATTGTTCTGCTTTGGGCAGAATGAGAGCTGCAGGCAATAGCTGGGTAATTGAAGTCTCAATCACTACTATATCATAAGCATCCATATGGGGCTTATAACTTGTTTCCTAAACTTCTCATCTATTTCCTCCTTCTGTCCAGGTTGTCTGTAGCATACTCTTATAATAATATTCTGTTTCTGAGTCCATTCTTAAATACCCTCCATAATGGTTCCCCATTCTTGTTCCTGGATTTCCTGATGTGAGTAAATCCTAATATACAATACTACCCTTTATTTCCCTACTCTTGCCCTGACCTCTCTACTTACCCTTTTCCTTTATTAAATTTTTTTTTTTTTTTAGGCAATTGGGGTTAAATGACTTGCCCAAGGTCACACAGCTAGTAAGTGTCAAGTGTTTGGTCTGAGGCCAGATTTGAACTCAGGTCCTCCTGACTTCAGGGCTGGTACTCTATCCACTGTGCCACCTAGCTGCCCCCTATCCTTTTCCTTTTGAATAAAGCATTCTCTTCATGAATCATGCTCCAATCACGGGCCCTATCCCACTAAGTCTTAGTGATATCTATGTATTTTTACATACCATGGTACAATGAACAGAGCCTTGAATTTGGAGTCAAAGGATGTGGGTTATAATCCTGTATCTGCTGCCTACTCCCTGTGGGATTTTGGGCAAGTTACTTTGGTCAAGACTTTGGATTTGGAGAGGACTTCATAATTCTTTCTGAGAGGTGGACTTTCCCCTTTCTCTTGACTAGTTCTTTATTAATCTTTCTTTCTTCTCTCTCTGTCTTCCTCCCTCTACAGGAGGAAAATTTTTTGATGTATTTACCAATTTATTGCCTTTGCTTTCTTACTATTATCATCCTTCCAATTGTGCTTTGTCATTTTTAACAAAAATACCCACAAGTGCTACAGTGACTTGTTATATATACGCATATGGAACAAGCACTTTACTTGTAGAAAAACAACCCTCAAAGTCTTTCTACAAACCTTTAGACCACTGTTCTGTTTTCCCCCAGGCAATACTTGGTCCTATCCTTTGAAGAAATGTTTGCTCTTTCTTCCCATTCCCATCTAAGCCAAAATGCTCATATGAGGAAGAAAATAGGAGATTCCAAGAACACTCCAAAGATTTCCCATAATATACTCACTTTTGGTTTTAGCCACTTCGGCCTTGTACAGGGACACATGTTTGCAAAGATTCTCTATGGGTGAACCAAACAGCAACCAATCAATATTGGTGAGCAGGGACCGTATGGGGTTGTACTTCACCCAAGTATATTTGGGAGAAAACATATTTTGCATCTCCTAGATAAAAATTGAAGAAGACAAAAATGAAATAAGTTGATACTTTTTGTGTACCTATATTCATAACAGAAATTCTATAATAATAATTATTGTTATAAATAACTAATCATCTATGTCACTAATATATAAAAATGTTATTATAACTCCAAATCCTATAATGTTTTTTGGTTAAGAAAATACTTTTCACACTAAACCTGTGAGGTAGGATGGGCAGGGATTTTCATCCCAATTTTATAGTTGAGGAAATAGAGAATCACAAAAGTTATAACCGCTCAGCATTTATCATAGTTCCTGGCACGCAGTAGGAACTTAGTTGACTGACTATGGTCAGATACTTAAAGCTCAGAGTTTGTTCCATTTCATTGCTCTGTTTCTTAAACGATTTTCTATTTGCATAAGGGACCTCAAGACATCAAATGGTCCAGTCTTAAGACAAGTAAAGCCTTATTATTTTCATTTTATAGAAGAGATCCCAGGTAAGCGGTGAGAGTTGGGGAAGGAGACTCTGATTCCCACCTCCCACCAAGTTGCTTTTCCCACTACACCATGTTCTTTTTAATAAAAATTGTTTCCACTATGCTATGGTTAGTTATTCAGGCTAGAGCTGAAGAGAAAGCCATTAAGAGAGAGGGCTTCACCATCATTCTAGGACATCTTTAGTCCCCAGCTGGATTAAAGACAGGGGAGTGAGTTGCCCAGCATTCAAAGCTTCACTCTAAGTTTTGCTCCTAACTAACTAAGAGAAGTCAATTGATATCAATCTAGTGTAGAAGAATTTTAGTGATTAAGCCATAGGGAGGTAACCTGTTTCACTGGAAAACAAACCATCCTGGAATTGATGAATCAATCCGCCAGTATTTGTTTAGCACCTCCAATGAGCCAGGTGAGGTGCTGGACATCTGGAGGCCTGGGTTCAAGTCTCGGAAGCTATGCCGCTAACTAGCTGTGTGAACTTGTTGAGTCCCTGCTCCTCTCTGGGTCTCAATTTGCTAATCTCTAAAATGACAATGCTGGACTAGGTTATTTCTAGTTTAAAGTCCCTTCTTGCACTAACAACCCTTGAACCTTATGCAGGGAGAGAGGACTTTGAAGGAAGAGAAAGTATGGCTAAGTGCTACAGTAGATAGAGTGGTGGGCCAGGAGTCACAGAGCCCTGAGGTCAAATATGATAATATTTGTATGCACATACATGGGGCGGCTAAGCAGTGCAGTGGATAGAGTGCTAGGCCTGGAGTCAGGAAGACTCATCTCTCTTAGTTCAAATCCAGTCTCAGACATTTACTAGCTGTGTGGCCCCAGAATTTGTGATTCTGGGCAAGTCACTGAAACCTCTTTTTGCCTCAGTTTCCTCAAATGTAAAATGAGGATAATACCTGCCTCCCAGCGTTGTTGTGAGGATCAATTGAGATAATAGCTGTAAAGCACTTAGCACAGATGCTGGCACATTGTAAGTACTATATAAATGTTGTTTTCTGCTCAGTTGTATCCGACTCTTTGTGACCATGGCGTTTTCTTGGCAAAGATACTGGAGTGGTTTGCCATTTCCTTCTCTAGTTTGTCCTCATTTTACAAATGAAGGACCGAGGCAAATAGGGGTTAGGTGACTTGCCCAGGGTCACATAGTTAGTAAGTGTCTGAGGCCAGATTTGAACTCAGATCTTCCTGATTTCAGGCCTGGTGCTCTATCTACTGCGCCATCTAGCTATTATTAAATATGGGATATATCAGGATGGGAATTTGTATAGTTCCAGTGAAACAGAACAGAATGAATGCAAGGATTGCACTTGCTATGCTCCACTTTTTACAATATTGTATAAAAATAATGAGTCTTCTCCCTTTTGATTCCAAAGGACATTTAAAAAATCTCTTTAATACATTAATCATGTAATATTGTGCATTATATTTATTATATTTACTACATTTGTGTCTTATCCTCACTGATCTATAAGCTACATAAAGGAAAATACCAAGTTTTAGCTAAATTCTCCCTCTTTCCCAGAACAATGCTCCAAACACAGGAGGTATTAATGTCTGTTTTTATTGCTGTTTCTTCTAGCTATAAATTCTTTATAATTACTATGAACATTTTTATGCAGAAATTATCCCTGCTGTTCCCTTTTACTGGGTGCTGACTATAGAACTGGTGATATGCAAGACTCCCACAGGCAGCATGGCACCGCAAAAAGAACATTGGACCTGGCATGAGGAGATACATGAGTTCTAATCCTGCCTCCCACACTTGCTAGCTATGCGTCTATGGACATATGACTAAAGGTTTCTCTGAGCCTCTGAGCCATTTGTGAGGTGGGAATAACACTTGTAGTACCTATTTCGTGGGATTGTTGTCAGGATCGAGGGAGGTCATTTACACAAAAGGCTTCAAGCGCTACATAGATGACAGCTTTTATAACTCAATGAAAAGAATAACAATTACCTGTCTCTCATAAATATATCGTTTAAGTTCATCCAGAGCAGGGATATCTACATGGTCCATCTTCATGATATAGCAGGCTCTTCGAGAGAGTAGTCTGGAAGCAATATAACCCTAGGGGTAGATAAGAGCTGAATTATTGCCTGTTACTAGTGTTCTTTGAGACTCAGAGAAAGCTGACTTGTGAACACAAATGTAACTAGGATGGGGAGAACGAGGCCTTGCCCCTAGATTCCAAAATTTAAAGAGCACTGCCTACATTTGCTGTCCTTCAGCCATGGACAAATGTCTGAGTTTAGCACCTGGTTAGCAAGAATAGCTCATTAAAAAAGGAAATTGCCATGGTCTGCCTCCTTTCACGGTGGCTTTCCCAACAGCCACCTTGTGGATGTCTCAGGGTTGCCTGATATTACCGCTGTCCCCCCCAACTAGATTGAGGCTGTGTTTTGCGTTTCTTGCCCAAGTTCATTCGAAGCCACTTGTTCTGGGTGCATGACTTACATGTTTGTAGTCAAATATGGTGGTGGAAGAGCATTTTCCCTCGTGGATGTTGATGATGGCAACATTTTTCTCATTTTCAATTTGCACCGTTTCCTGGGCCAAGCTACCATTACTGGTAGAACTTATGTAGTTAACAACCTGGATTTCAAATACAAAAAAATTATACATACTGTCTTTGTATTATAAATTTTTGAAGGGAGTAGGGGAGGGAATGTAAAACAGGAACAATAAACTAAAACATCAATCTGCAATGAGCATGGAATAAACCCCTGAGGACTATTTCATAGTCAGACCAGGCCAATTTACAAGTAGGAAGAGAAGAAAGCATAGCAATTGCAACCACTTCCTGGTCATTTTCTAATTTGTATGTGCATATACATGGGGCAGCTAGGTGGTACAGTGGATAGAGTGCTGGGCCTAGAGTCAGGAAGATTTCCTTAGTTCAAATCTAGCCGCAGACATTTACTAGCTGTAAGACCCTGGACAAGTCACTTAACCCTGTTTGCCTCGGTTTCCTCATCTGTAAAATGAGTTGGAGAAGGAAATGGGAAACCACTCTAGTACCTTTGCAAAGAAAACCCCAAAGGGGTCATGAAGAGGTGGTCGTGACTGAAAGACAACGAAAAGACTGCATGACCTTGAAGGGCCCTTCAAGTTTTAAATAGGATCAAAGGGGTCATTGATTTAGATCAGAGTTGCTCTAGGTCATACAAGCCCTTCATTTTACAGATGAGGGATCTGAGGCCCAGGGAAGTTACACAGGTCCCATAGGTATTAAGTATAAGAGGTGGAGTGAGACCAGGTTCTCTGAATCCAAAGCTGGTGTACATTTCATTATTCCAAATAGACGATACTTATAGCTCTAATTTTTAGTGGGCCAATAAGTGGGGCCATTCCGACACCTCGTTCTGGTTTGTCAATATGCCAGTACTCCAAGGATCCAGATTCATGTCCTAGTTTGGAACTTGCCTCTACCATAGACTCTTCCTCCATCAATGCTGAGGGTGATGGTGCTGTGACTTCATGGATAAATCCCAGAGAGTCGCCTCAGGCACACTGAAATTAGGTGAATTGCTCATATTCACGTGGTCACTAAGCATTCCAGGCAGCGTTAAAGCCAGATCTTGCCCCCAGAAATCCAGTACTACATCTACTCACTACCACCTGCTGCCAAGGGCTCTGTTATGTTTCACCCTTGTATCTAGCCAGTGCCAAGCACAGTATCTTATGCCTACTTAGTACCTGATAAAGAGCCAAAATGAGTATGGCATTGTTTCAGAAAGGACGAAGCTCTGCTCAGAAAGGCACTGAAGCCTAATCCGACCTGGATTTCTCTTTCTTATGAGTTTAGTGGGTCTCACTTTTTAGGGGAAAGTAAAACATTTACTATTAATTGGCTACTAAATTTTGAAATGAGAGTTTTCCATCAGCTAATGACCTGGGATCATGATAAAATTTAAATACTTATCTCTAGCAAAGGCTAGGACTAGAGAAGTTTGGTAATACTTCTTTCAATGGTAGAAGAGGTTTGGAGTAGAAGTAGAGGAATACTAGTAGAAATAACTCCCGTTTATAGGCTGTTTTCCTCCATGAAGTCCTTCTCTGATTCTCACTGTGGAGCTGACCATCAGAGTACATCCCATCAGAGCATGGGACAGGTCCAACTCCAAGCTGGAAAGCCTTCAGGTGTCAGCTTGGTGATGAAGAGTACATCTGCATTAGGAGACACGAAAACTCCTTCCTGGCTTACCTTAAGACACAATAAAATTCAAATCTCACCTGTGGTCAGAGGTTTTTCCTGGTCTCCCTTTCCCTCCATGCCTTCCATCTGAGATTGTTGTTGTTGTTAAGTTGTTTCAGTTGTGTCCAACTCTTCATGACCCTATTTGGGGTTTTCTTGGCAAAATTACTGGAGTGGTTTGCCATTACCTTCTCCAGCTCATTTTACAGATGAGCAAATTGAGGCAAACAGGGCTAAGTGACTTGCCCAGGGTAACACAACTAGTAAGCATCTGAGGCCACATTTGAACTTGGGAAGATGAATCTTCCTGATTCCAAGCCCAGCACTCTATCCACTGTACCACCTAGCTGCTCTTCTGCCCAAGATTACCTTCCATCTACTCTGTATTTGTCTTGTATGTGCATAGTTACTTACACATTGTTTCCCCCATTAGACTGTAAGCCTCTTGCGGGCAGGGACCACATTTTTGCTTTTTGTTATATCCCTAGTGCTTAGCACAGTGCCTGACACGCAGTAAGTACTTAATAAATGCTTATTGACAGACTAGTGCAGCTAAATTTGAAGAGGTTAATATCTAGGTTGGCTTCTCCATATCCATCCATTGGAATCCCTATCACCTTTTGGTGTCACCAGAAGACCACCTCCTATGAGAAGTGTTTCCTAATTCCCTACTTGTTAGTCCCACTCTCCTAATGAATTTCTATTTATTTTGTGTCTACTCATATATGTACGTGTTTCTCCACAGCAGAATAGAACCTCTTTGCATGCAAGGACTGTTTAATTTTTGTCTTTGTGTCTTCAGCACCTGGTCCATAATTAGCTATAAAACATGCTTTTTGACTGAATTGAAGTGGTGTATTAGCATTAAAAATGGCCAGTTTACCCACCTCATATCCGAGTGTTTGAGTGTAGAAGATTGCTAGCAGAGCTAGAAGGGATACCTGAGAACAAATGAGTCACATTTATTCTTGGCAGAAGTCACAGGAGCTTTCACAAAATCCATCAGTTCCATTCCAGGGTGGAGTTCTCAGACACTAAGGCCCTAGAAATAGCATTGTGCTCACACAGATGTTCCAGGGACCTCTCCTCCTTTTTCTGAGGGAGATACAGGAGGCATTATGTGCTAGGTGAGTCAAACCACGACTGATTTGACCTCCACGTCCCCTCAGACTTAAATGGAGACAGCCTGGGACTTGGAACCCAAGAGCCTTTGGAATAGCAATGCTTCCACCCCAATGTCTTTGGCCATCATCCTGGAGAGCCACCCCTGTGAGGATAGAGTCTGGCCCCTGCTCCTGCAGGTGTTACAGCCACAATACTGAAAGTCCTTGTCAAGCAAAGTCTTTGGCACTGTCAAATGGTTTTGGTCTTATCAGTGGAAACGCTACTAAAGAAGGAACATTGAGATTTGCTTTGATCCTGTTCCTTAAGGATCATGGAACCTTGCAAAGAAACCTTCCAGGTATGTTATCTTCCCCCATTAGAATGTGAGCACCTTAAGAAAGGGCCAGTCTTACATTTGTACTCCCAGCATTTGGCACAGTGTTTTATACACAGCAAATGCTTAATAAACCATTCATTCATTCATTCATTCATTCATTCATTCATTTTCAGCCTTGCTAGAGAGGGCTGCATTTTCTCTTGGACACATTTCCCATTTGAGCTTTGTACTTTGACTTTATCAAAGGGTAAGTAAGTGGGAGGAAGAGAGAACTTACCTACATGCTATAGAATAACTCTGTTGTGTCAGCATCTTACTTGTAATAACCAGAATGTAAGAATAAGCACAGGGTCAGACCTATGGTCCATCTAGTCCATGAGTCTGTCTTTGACAGATCCATCGCAGATAGATTCCTCTTCTGGATGTCCATTTCAAAGGTTATGGGATGTTCTGCAAGTGCTTCAGTTTTTCCACTTTTACTTCGTTATCTGAATTCACTTAAATCTTTTTTTTTTCAAATTCATTTATCTTTAGTTTTTCCCTGGCAAGAGGTAATATGATGTAGTGGCTGGCCCCAGAGTTAAAAAGACCTGGGTTCAAGGCCTCACTCTGACATATAACTTTTCAGTGGCCTCAGACAATTCTCTTAAGACTAACAGGCAGAAGAATAATTCTCGACTTGCATGGAGGTTGGGGAGTGGAGAGTTTCATATCAGGAAGACCCCCCAGCAGGGTGCAATGGAAAGAACTATGGCTTTGGAGTCGGAGGAGCTGGGTTCAAATCCTAGCTCTGCTGTGTGACTTTGGAGAAGTAATTTCACCTCTCTGAACCTCAATTTTCTTACCTGTAAAATGAAGGGATCTGAAGAATAATAATAGCTAGAATTTATGTTGCAATTAAGATTCACAAAACACTGTACACATTATCTCATTCAATCCTTAAAATAACCCTGTGAGGTAGGTTTTATTATTATTCCCATTTTATAGTTGGGTAGCTGAGGCTGGAAGGGGGTTAAATGACTTGTCTGGAGCTACGTGACTAGTAAGTGTCTGAGGCAGCATTTGAGCTTGGGTCTTCTGGGCCCTGAGTCCAGGATTCTGTGCATTATATCACCTTGCTAAGTGAACTCTGAGTTCTTTTCCAGTTCTAAATCTACAATCCTGTAAGACATCTGCATTCACAGGTTAAGACTGAACCCTGATGCCCACTACTACCAACGAAAAAAAGGATTGATATTTCAGAGGACATGGTTTGACCTATGAAGTATACAAATACATGTAATAAGAAGCTGTGTTATGACATCATTTTACTCTAATAAAATCTGTCCTAATTTGCTAATGGCCCACCCAGTACTTATCCCTTACCATGTAAGTGATCCCCACCTCCCCTCCATATACCAAATCTCCAAGTTGATAGGGGAAAAGTCCCTGTTATTTTCCAGAAACCAAGACTGAATTTACAATGGCAGACAGACTAATGTGGCGGGGAGAGAGCGGTGGTGGTGCTAGTGGGAATCTTGATTTCTCGGATGGATCTTTGATCTCATTAATTTGGAGGTTTCCTTCAATTTTGGAGATTTCAGGTCACCCATGCCTGCCCATCTAGTATAATTCTTTTCCATGACTTCCACAGGAAGATCATATAAAGTTCTGGAGGCCCTTCTCACTTTCTCCTGATATTTTGAGGGTACCAGTAAGGCCTATTGGTTGCCTACCTGTCATTTCTTGCTGTTGCTATGTGACTAGCCCCCCTTTTAATAAATACTGGTGCTGTCCAAAGGAGAAACACAGAGGAAAAGAGAAATACCTCTGTGTGTGTATGTTTGTAGTGTTCAAGAGGAGGAAAAGGCAGGACTGGGCTATCAGAGGATATTAAAAAAAAACCAAACTTTTCCTGCTTTACAAATTTCCAGCTGTGTTATACCATCTGAGACTTTCCTTTGTGTGTTTCTTTCAGATATCTGTTTCACTGAAATTTCTAAACCCTCCCTTCCCACCAAAAAAATCACAAAGAAGAAATTGTGGTGTATAAGAAAATAATTTTTTTCAAAAATCATCTCAAATGTTTTCCCAAATATCCCTTTCTATTTGGTCTTTTTGGGTAAGATTTCCAAATATAATGAAATACTAATAAAAGGTCACAGATAGACTTTGAAAGCTGTAAGAGACCTCAGTAACCATTTAGTCCAACCCATACATGAAAGGAATCCCCACCAGGCAAATGGTCGGCCAGACCCTGCTTGAAGATCTCAAAGATTGGGAACTCATTGCTCCAACAGGAACCCCTTTCCTCCACCCCACCCCTACCACTTTTAGATGGCTTAATTGTTAAGAAGGTGGTTTTTTTTTATAATATAGATCCTAAATTTTCCTCTTTGCTCTTGGTTCTGACTTCCAGAGCCAAAGAGAACCAATCTAATACCTCTTCTATATGTATATTCATCTTTCAAATACTTGAAAACAGCTGTCATGTTCCCCTACTTCAGCTGAACATCTCAATCCACTGTGATGCTCAAATTCAAAATACTTCTCTTGGAGTCATCCAAGTGTTTAACCTAAAATCTACCATTGTGCTACCCAACAGTTTGGGTGAGGGTTAGACGAGATCACCTCTGAGTTCCCTTTCAACCCTTCGAGGTTTCCGACCATTTTTAGAAGAGTTCAAAGCAGTGTTAATACTCACATGAGTCTTCATCTTGGCTGCAGGGAACTTGTGTGACTGGCGGAAGCTCAACTGTCCTGGCTTCTGCCTGTTTTATTGGCTTGGAGGTGTAGGGAGTTCCTAACAGAGATATCTCTTTGACAGCAAACGTCTTTATCTCGGGACCAGGACCCAGAACATGCCATGATATGGCAGAAAGGAATTAGTCATCCTCCCTTCACCACTCTGTAAATATTACAGGCTTATCAGTGCTCCATTTTCTAAGAGAAATCAGGGTACACCCTTGGTTTCTTCTAATCTTTTCATTTTCTTTTGTTCATTGTGTAGGGCAATTATATAAAGGCCTAAGAGTTTCCTTCTGCAGCTGTAGAATGCAAGCCCCAAGGGATTGTAGAGACCACCTAATCCAATGTCCCCATTTCATAGGTTAGGAAATAGAGGCTTTCCCTACCCCTTTTGGGGAAGTGACTTGCCCAAGGTGACATTCAGCTCATTACTCTGTGATCTTGGGCAAATTATCTCACCTCTGAGGTGATCTCTACATATCCTTTTAGATTATGATCCAAGTATTTCCAAGTTAGGACTTGAGCCCAGGTCTTTCATGCCCACTTTAGGGCTCTATCCAATGTACCACATTGTCTTGAATTATGCTAGAACCACAGAATTTGGAACCAGAAGGAACCTTAAATGTCATCTAATCTTGCTTTCTCAATGTATGGATGAAGAAAATAAGGAACAGAAGGAGGTAACTTATCCTAGGTTGCATAAATTGGAATAAGCAGAGATGGGATTTGGACCCAGGACGTTTATCTTCAAATACAGCGCTCTTTCCACTGAACTGAGCTGCCCCACTTGTAGTCAAAATTGTCCCTTGGTATATCACAGCTGTAGGGCAGCTAGGTAGCAGAATGGATAGAACGCCAGGCCTGGAATCAGGAAGACACATCTTTCTGAGTTCAAATCTGGCCTCAGAGTGACCCTAGGCGAGTCACCTAACCCTGTTTGCCTCAGTTTCCTCATCTATAAAATGAGCTAAAGAAGGAAATGGCAAACCATTCTAGTATCTTTACTAAGAAAACCCCAAATGGGGTCATGAAGAGTTGGACACAACTGAAATGACTGAACCATTACAATTGGCACAGAATAAGTGCTTAATCAATGTTTTTTTCATTCATGCATTCATTTACCACAACCCATTCATACCTGCCATATGGAGCACTTAGAGCTTGGTCAGACATTGAAGACGCCAAGGTCACCCACTGCCTCCCTGGGCATCGCCAGTCATCATGACTTTTGTCTTGCCACTGGACTTCAGTGACTCTGGAAGAGAGAGTGGGGCTGATGACTTTGTACAATTCTGCCTCACTTAAATACAATTCGTGCATGAGTCAAGACATCATCCCATGACATCACTGATCCTCCTCGAAAACGAAGGACAAATAACAATAACAGCTATTCTCTATTTAGCTCTGAGTGATACTCAATTTTATTTCTTCAGAGACTATAGTGTTCCATGATTTACAGCCATATAACACCAATAGAATATTTGGTGATAAAAATGATGGATCTCCACCAAAAAGAAGGCTGACTGTGTGGTTGTACAATGTTAGGTACAGAGATGAAATGTGAAATGGCTAATAAGTGGAATTGCCAAACTGTTATAACTTGATGAGGCTTATGCAACAGACTTTCAGCAAATCACAACAGTAATTATGAGCAAGGTATCAAATGTCATTTTAATCATTCTGCAATGTGCATTATGATTCTTTAACACATTTATACATTCATCTCAGATCTTCCCTCTTTTGTGTGTGAGAAAAAATGATTTGTTTCATATTTGAAAACTAGACATGTCTAGCTTCTTCTCCCCCACCCCCCCTTTTTTTTTTGGCAATTGGGGTTAAGTGACTTGCCCAGGGTCACAAAGCTAGTAAGTGTCAAGTGTTTGGTTTGAGGCCAGATTTGAACTCAGGTCCTCCTGACTTCAGGGCTGATGCTCTATCCACTGAGCCACCTAGCTGCCCCCTGTTTGTTCCCCCCACCCTTTTCACAACACTTTGCCTTAGAATTCCAGACCACAAAGGAGGGGCGGGGGATTCTCTCTTCCACCCTACTCCCAAAAGAGAAGAAAATGGTGACTTATAGGAGAAGCATATGGTGCTCAATCTGTGTACCTAGGCAAGCCTGAGAGGGAATTTCTTCTGCTATCTGTTTCTTTTTCTGAGCACAGGTCAGACACTAGAGAGATACTGAGGATGGATTTTTCCAACCTGAGGTTGAGTCAGGTGCTGGCCTCTCAAAGGGAGAAGACATCAGTAGGTTATTTCTTGAAAAAAAGATACTCTCTGTGTGTACTTATGTATACACATATAATACACACATTGTATACATGTATGTTATATATGTATATACATACATATTATATACACATATGTATTATTTATATATAAAGTTTTAAAAGTTGTCCATCTAATCCCCCATCATTGCACAGCCAATAAGCATTCTTCATTCACTCAGTATTTTTAAGGCAATCAGGATTAAATGACTTGCCTAGGATCACAGAGCTAGTAAGTGTCTGGATTTGAACTCAGGTCCTCCTGACCCCAGGGCTGGTGCTCTATTCACTGTGCCCTCTAACTGCCCTTTACTTAGCTCTCCAATGTAGATAGGTTGAATACTTTTTAGTTACAGTGGTCTCTTCCAGGATGCTTTGTAATATTCTTAATTTAACCGGTACAGTGTCATCTCCAAAAAGGATGCACCTGAAGGATCTCACCATCTCTATGGAATCACTATTCAACTTGGACTCTTCACTGGATATCCTCCATGGCAAAACATCCTGTTTTATCCCTCATCTGATATTAGTAATCATAGAGTCATCAAACAAGATTCTCTCCATTGTTACATCTTTCAAGTGTAACCCCTATCCCAAAGTCCGTTGGTATGGGACTCTCTCCTTATTTGTATAGATGAATGCCCTGCCCTGCATGAGGGGTGGGGTGGAACTGGTGAGAGATGAGAGCTGCAGTTCTTGGCACAGTCCCCAAAGGGAGACTCAGCATTCAGATGTTCTTGGCTTTCAGCTTCAAGAGAGAAAAAGGCCAGTCTCACTTCAAGTTCAGACTCTGGGAAAACATGAGAGGAGCAGGTGGTCTCCATTATGTCCCTACTGCCAACTTTCTGTGGGAAAGAAGAGGTATTAGACTGCCTACCAGATTGAAGGTCTACAGAGCTGTTGTGCTGACCTCCTTGTTATATGCCTGTGAAACTTGGACAGTATACCAGTGTCATATCAGGAAATATGACTTCCATTTGAAAAGTCTTAGGGAGATTCTGAAGATCACCTGGCAAGATAAGCCACTGGACACTGAGGTCCTTTCTCGAGCTTAACTGCCAACCATTCAAACTCTACTGCAAAAAGTGCAACTCTGATGGGCTGGCCACCTTATTCAAATGTCAAAAGTATATTTGCCTAAAAGATGATTTTACAAAGAACTCTCACAAGGCAAGCACTCATATGGAGGTCAGAAGGAATTTTACAAGGACACTTTTAAGGTCTCTCTGAAGAACTCTGGAATCAGCTGCAAAACATGGGAGACACTGGCACAGGACCACCCAGCATGGCATGCCTGCATCAAAGAAGGCATTGTACTCTATGAGCAAAGAAGAATTGCAGTAGCTTAAAAGAAATGTGAGGTGCACAAATTTAGAGATGTCTCCACTCCAAATGTCTACATGGACCAAGGGTGGGGGACCTGCACTCTTGAGGCCACCCCGGAATGCACTATTTATACCTGACTTGTGGCAAAGCCTGAGCTCGCACTGGTCTGATCATCCAGAGCTGGACACACTGTGCCTTGACCCCAACATAGTGATCTCACTTTGGTCCTGTTTGAGAACTGAGGATAATAAGCATTCCCAGCTTGCTACTCTAGAGACTTTGAGAAATTTTTCCCTCTAGTGAGATCCAGGACACTCTCTATTGGTTGAGCTGAGTTACGTTCGCTCCCAATGAGACAGCTTCTTCACTCTGTGTTATCTGGTACGTATTCTCCCATATATACCTTCTCTGATTTCTGTTTTGGTACAATTTGGATAAAAAGGCTTCTTTGCTGTTCTCTATGTGTGTTCGTTGTGAAATTGGTATTAGGTGGGAAAGGAATCAAGTCTTAGATATAGAGCTTAGGGTCCCCTTGCCTCCTAAAATGATAAAGCAGTCAAAAGTTAGATGGATCATATCCCCTAGACTAATAATATTTAAGGGAGCAGATGGATATACTTTTAGTCTGGTATTCCTCTCTCCCTTTGAGGAGAGCACAGTGGTGGCCTCTGGCCCCAACCTCTTGTTTCCCTTCCTGTCAAGAATGAAAGTCTCCCTTGGAAAAGGGTGGGGGGAACAAACAGGGGGCAGCTAGGTGGCTCAGTGGATAGAGCATCAGCCCTGAAGTCAGGAGGACCTGAGTTCAAATCTGGCCTCAAACCAAACACTTGACACTTACTAGCTTTGTGACCCTGGGCAAGTCACTTAACACCAATTGCCTAAAAAAAAAACAGGGATGGGGGGAGAAGAAACTAGAGATGTCTAGCTTGCCTCTCTTTGAGCTATAAACAAGGCCAGGCCCTTGCCTATATGTGGGCCCCTCTTAAGTGTAGCTTCATATCCTTACACAAAAGAATCTTGAATAATTTTTGTGTATGAAAGCTTCATATCCTTACACAAAAGAATCTTGAATAATTTTTATGTATGAAAGGATATATTTTGTTGTGAAACTTTTCCTCTACTGATTAATCAAAAGCTTTTCGATAGTCAATAAGCAATAAGCATAGTGAAGTCATATTCTCTATACTTTTCAGTCAATTGTGTAATGGTAAAGCTATGATAGAATTGAGGAATATCACTTGTGAAATGCTGCCTATTCTCTGCTCATCAAGCCCTCAGTGAGGATGCCCTCATGCGTGAATATGTATATTAGTCTCATAAAACAATTACATGGATGAAAAAGCAGGCATATAGACCTAGTGATTGGTGTTATTTCGGACATAATACTGCTCCTAAATTTGAATCGGCCTTTCCTG